TGTTGAGGTGCCATTTTTGATTCGTCTTGCAAACATTGACAAGAAGTCTGCTCTTGCAGTCGACATTGGCCCAATGAGGATCACTAGCATAGACTTTGAAGCAGAGGCCGAACTAGAGCTTAGTCAGCAGAATTACGTGATATAAATGGTGTGTTGAACTCTAGTCATTAACTAATGGCTGCCTTTCGCTTTCAATTTTGATCCAAATGTCGTCGATATAGGTAAGTAAATTATTTTCTGCTGGATCTGATTTCAATAGACATGACTAAAGATCTACTTGAATGAATGTTCTAACGTACCTAAACACCTACATGAGTGAATGTTCTAGTGGTTTTGTAAACTTGTCTCTAGACTCTTGGACTCATTGCAACATAAATGAACTGAAACAGATGGCCATGTTAGGTTCAAAGTGATTTCCATATTATTGTTAACATGTTTGGTAAGATGGACTAAATGATACTGGAAAGTATAATTGCTCGGGGTAATGAAGATTTGATTCTGACATGTTCAGTTTGATGGGTTCAACGAGAATCGATCATGCGAAAGAAGTTATAGTCTTGTTAAAAAACTATCCAATATTTGTTTTGTCGATTTCGGGGCAGTAGGTCAGTATTGGGTAGTGCAAATCAAATGTGGGTTACCTGAAATTGAATACAGATGCCATAGTTGTGTCGAAGAGGATTTTATTGGACTGAAAGTCATCATGAGAGATCACAATGGTTTGGTGGCGGTGGCTAGTTCTTGGCAGATTAGGGGCCTTTTTTACCTTGAAGTTGCCGAATCAACTATCTTATGTTATGGCCTTCAGTTTGCAAAGGAATATGGGTTCATGGATTTGGAAGTGGATGATGTGTCTGAAGCATAATTTTCTCGTTCGATCAATATGAAAATACTTACACTTGCAGATTTATCGGAATGTATTTGAATAGCGTAATAAGATGATCAACATAGAGGTGTCAAGACGGCGGGCCGACCATGACCCGTGAAAACCGGCCCGTGAAAATCGGGACCGCGGGCCGACCCGTGACCCGTGCGGGCGGTTCACGGGCCAAGGAGGTGTAACCCGCGGGCTTCGCGGGTTGCACCTTCACGGGCCGCGGTTAACCCGCGGCCCGTAAAAAAAATTGAAAAAAAAAATAAAACAAAAATTAAAAAA